GCGGCGGGCGGGGAGCTCCGTCCCGAGGGTGCGACCCCCACTGCCCTCGGGGGTGCCGGGGCTGGGCCCCCCGCCCCGCCCGGGCGGCACCTGCCGGGCGGGAGGGGCGGGAAGCGGGAGCCGGGCGGGGCGCAGTGACAGCCCGCCCTGCCCGCGGGGGTCGGGGCAGTGCGGGGGAAGGAGCGTCCTGTCCCGGGGAAGGGGTGAGCTGCCCGGCGCTCCGGACCCGGCTGTCGTCCGTGGGGGCAAGAAGGGCTTGTGTGTTCGTAGCCTGTGCCGTGCACGGTGCGAGCAGCTCCGCAGGGCTGGGGGTCAGGGCGAGCACACGCTGTGTGAGGGGGGCACTGATGAATGCGCAGGGAAGAGCTCAGAGCCCTCGTGTTGTGTGTCAGCAGCAGAAACCTGGCTGTACAGGAAAATAGCATGTAAACATGTGTTTTCATGCATACAGGTCTGTATATCTGCACCTTGAGTGCTGTGTCCAGTTCTGTGCCCCTCACTGCTAGAAAGATACTGAGGTGCTGGAGAGAGTCCAGAGAAGGGGAGTGGAGCTAGGAAAGGGGCTGGAGCATGAGTCTGATGAGGAGCAGTGAGGGGGCTGCGGGTGTTTAGCCTAGAGGAGAGTCTGGAGTGGCCTTATCACCCTCTCCAGCTCCTGGAAGGAGAGTGTAGCCGGGTGGGGATTGGCCTCTTCTCCCAGGCAGCAAACGAGAGGGCATAATCTCAAGCTTCAGCAGGGGAAGTTTAGATTGAATGTCAGGGGGAATTTCTTCACTGAAAGGGTGAGTGGACATTGGAGTGGACTGCCCAGGGAGGTGGTGGAGTCACTGTCCCTGGAGGTGTTTAAGGAAAGACTGGATGTGCCAGTTAGTGCTGTGGTCTAGTTGACATGATGGTGTTTGGTTAAAAGCTGGACTCCAAGGTCTCAGAGGTCTTTTTTAACCTCCTTGATTCTGTGATCTCCATAGGGTTTGTGTGGATGTTGTTTTCAAAGAGCACAAGGATTTGATAAAAACTTAGAGTAGCTAAAAAACATACATGTATTGCTGTATATGTAGATTTATGCACAAAGTACTTGAGCGTTGCAGAAGAGGAAATTATTCAATGTAAAATGTGTCCAGATGCCATCTTGCTATGTCCTCTTACAAACTGTGAACTCCTGCCAAGCTAAAACTAGGGCATTTACTAGTTTCAATAGATGTGCACAGAGCAGGGCAGACATCTTTTGGTGGCACTGTTTTGTTCAGCACCACACAAGTTCATCAAGATACCAACTCTTTCCATATCCAAAGACTCTCAGAGAGAGGTGACTCAGAGTGGAAATCTTGCTTCTGTGTGAGTCTTTGTTACAGCTCCAACAACTGTCAGGAGAAAAATTGGTTAATGTGCCCACGTGGCTGGTGTCATTGTGTTAACTGAACAGATTTATGGAGGATCATTATAAATTATGGATGGAGCTGACATTCTCAACTTGGTGCAGCTCAGTCATGGATGCTGTGCTGCATTTAGAGACTGATTAATACAAGTCATGGACCAACTGATACGACTGTAATTAATAATTAGCTGTGGTTTATTGCTTATTAAATGAACTTTCCCTGTTCACTAGAATGGACAATGTTTAAGTTACTGTTCTTCCATTTGCCTTGCCCATTTTCCTGGGAAAGCTGTGTGTTTCAAGAAGTTAATGTGAAGTATGAAAAACAACTTTTTCTTCTCTGTCACTTTTATATTGCCTGCAGTGACATCGGGAAGGTTTGACAGGTCTGTCACTTCACCTGTAGCAGGTACAGTAGCAGAGTGTGTGACTCAGTTTCCCTTAGGATGGGGCTCTGCTGGCCACTCTTGCCAGCAGTGTCAGTGTTACAGTCTCTGCTTGGCAGGTGAAGCAGACACCGTGTGGTTGTTTGTAAAGGCAGTAAACTTCTGCTCTGCTGACCTTGACCTTAAGGTTTGTGTTTACCTAAGTTTGGTGCAAGTTAGGGGTGTTTTCCATCAGACAGCAAGCTTCATGTTTTCTGTAGCATTGCTGAACTGCTGGAACTGTGAAAGTTTCAAGGAGTGGCTGCCTTGTGCTTCCATTCCTATTCTATCCAGTTTTGGTGATCTGGATGTTTTCAAGTTACACTAGTTACTGCCACACATAGTTCTTTCATTTCCAGTCCTGTACTTGAAATGAAGATGTAAACTTAGTCCTGGCTAATTTAGCACTGACTTCATGCAGCTCTCAGTCTGCAGCTTAATATATAAAGGACAATAGCAGTAAGCATTGCAAAATTGGGTTTGGAATATTCTTACGGTATAAAAAGAAGTTCCAAAAAAAGTCAGAATAGTTCATTACTAAGAGACTTGGAGATTTGTCCATCACCCCTGTGAATTTTCTCCAACATAGTTTATAGTAAAGTAGTAGACCACAACTGAGCTTTCACATAAAAATAATTACAGGTAAACACAGCATACTTGATGACAAGAAAACTGACTTTTTGCTGTATGGTAAGAACCACACAGTTTTACTTTCAGATTGGAAGTCTGATGAAGTGGAATTTGCCCCAGAGTATTCTGATAGCACCGACTTGCCCTCTGGCAGGTTCTGTAATGCAGCTGGGCCATGACTGTTCTTAACCCAGGAGTGAGATGAATGTAATGCACACAGTTGTCTCATGATATGTACTTGTTTTATCTGCTAAAGTTACTGTTCTGTCCATATAAAACAGTGAGGCTTCATACTGACAGCCTGAAATGGTGTGTAAGTTTACATGCATTTCTTGTAGTTTGAGGCCTTTCCTGTGCTGCCAGGGGAGGGCCATGCAGTAATTTGGGATGCAGGTGAAGAAAGAACAAATCTGTGGCAAATCCTCTAGCTGAAAAAGTCCAGAATATTAAAGGTGCCAATTGCAGAAATACTTCAAATACTAATAACTTGATTTATATTTTGAAGACAAAAAAATTGTTTCTGCAGGCTGTTGGGCCGGTGCCCAATGAGTGACTAATTTTAGTCAATGCCTTTTTTTCCTTCTTCTTATCTCCTGGTAACTTTGCAGTGGAGGTAAATGGTGGGCAGCCTTGGTGCTGCAGACCAGATGGCTTTTTCTCTGTCTCAAAAGAGGGAATCAGTGGATTGTATTGGAGCATACATAATGCTGCCCTGTCTCCTGCTACTGGTAATAAGCAATCTGATTTGTGGGCTGTGTGGTTCTAAAGCTTGTGCAGTGAAGCTGAGGGGAGGCTCTGATGTGAAATGAACTTTCTGCTGAGGCGAGGCTCAGCTAAAACAAGCAGCACGTGCAGATGTGACTAAAGATTGTCCTGGTCCCGCTGGAGGCAGAGCTCTGCCGAGAGCAGCACAGCAAAGCCACCTCTTGGTGCATCCCTTGGCACAAGCTGGCGTGAGGGAGGAGGGTGCTGGGACCTGCTCTGTAAGAGGGAGAGGGAGGTGCCATTTCTGACAGGAAGGTGCTGATCAGGGATCAGGGGCACGGGGCTGCTGCCAGCACCGGAGTGCAGCGTTCCTGTGCTGCACACTCCAGCCAGCAGCAGGAGAATCAGAGAAAGGCAGACTCCAGGGGTGATGGGTGTCAGGGTTCAGCTTTTACAGTACAAATGAAGTCGGTGTTTTGCCGAGTATCATGTATTGGTAGGCATGGTTGGTACTGTTCATAAAGGCTTGTGTTTTAGGACTGGAAGAAGGGAAGCAGGATAAGGATCTTACTGGATGGGTTTTTATCACATGGTGGGAGGCTGCAGCATAAGGGCAGCACTTCAAGCAGAAATTGTTGTCTTTACCCCCAGCACGACCTTTTGCTGTGGTTCACGGGTCCTCTGCTCTGCTGCTTTCCTAGACACCTCTGGCACTTCCATTTTTCAG